TTTCAACATGCCTTATAATTAGCATTATGGATATTACTGATTTTATTAGCTCTAAATTAAAATCAAACTCAGACTAACAATAGAAACAAGGAAATATCATTTTGTAACCATACCTTGTAACCATGAAACACTTAAAAATCTAAGCAGATGGTTTTATCCATAGTGACCTATGCCGGTCTGACACACTCCCCTGAAGCAGCATCTAGTCCAGTGGTAAAACAGTGATACAGCAGGGCCGCAATTTCATTGGCTCTGCAACGGTTGGTTCATTCTTACGTCTTAGCAACATTGACACCAAAAGTACAACCTCTCCGGTAACAGCTTGGAGCCAAAAGCACTAAGCTATCATCATCTCCTCTGCCTGTCAGGACCTTTCCATGAATATTTCAAGTTATTTAGAGCAGCAAAATTAGTGAGCTGGCTGATTTCAGGTCTGCCCCTTCACTGAGACGACTATTGGTTTGCGATTGTGGTAATCCATTTCTGGCTGTGTGTGTGTGTGTGTCCATTTTTTAGCATGTCAGTATATGTGTGTAGATGTAAGTGTGTAAGCTGTGGCCCTTTGCTGCAATCTGTCATATCATATTCTCATCCTACGGAACACTGACCTTACATCTCCAGAGACACATGCTGCTCTGATCTGCACCCCCTCCAGAGAAAACGACAATAGGACTGAACAGAGAGAAGAGGAGACATCATATTTCCCCTTCTTGTACTGTACAATATTACTTTATTTACTCACCTGGCATATTAGCAATATATAAATACATACACATACCGTTAAAAAGTTTGAGGTCAGCAAGTTTTTTTTAAAGATATGAAAGATACATTCCACAAAAATATTGAGAAGCACAACAGTTTTCTCATTTATTATAATAAGAAATGTTTCTTAAGCAGCAAATCAGCATTGAATGATTTCTGAAGGATCATGTAACTGATGACTGGAGTAATGATGCTGAAAATTCAGCTTTGCACCACAGGAATACATTTTAAAATATACTAAAATATAAAACAGTTATTTTCAAATAAAATAATATTTCACGGTATTACTTTGTGAGAATAAGAGGCTTCATTTAAAAACATTTTAATCTTGTCGACCTCAAACTTTTGTAAGGTAGCATGTACTGTACAGACAATGTTGTAAATTCTGACAGTCATGCCGATAATGATGCTGTAAGGATATCCGCCACTGGATACCTTCCTTGGGCCAAGTGCGCGGACCTTACAGGATGCTTTGTTGACTTCTGAGATACAGCAAAGAGAGAGAGTGAATGAGAGAGAAAGGATCCATGTTTACCTGTATGTCTACACTTCACTGCACATCTTCTGACTAACAGACCAACAAACAGGAACACATCATCTGACCCATTCAGTCTACTAGCCTTGGGTAATTTTGCCCCATGTTTTTAAAGGGGTCGTGAACTGCCTTTTTTATTATTTTGTGCTGTTCTCTGAGGTCCACTTATAATGTTATCAAGATATTTACATAAAAAACAATATTTTAGCAGTAATAGGCAATTTTTTGTCCTGTTTGACCTCCCTCATCAGAACGCTCTGTTTGAATAGGCGTGGTGTACTGTAGACTCGGAAGTAAACACCCACTGCTATGATTGGCTAATAGTTGTGTATGTTTGACAGCAACATCCTTCACAGATGGACACTGCTGTGATTTAGGTAAAAACCGCATAAATACTCAGTTCATATCAAACGATCTGTAATAACAGACAAAGCAATAGTGATAACGTAATAAAAAAGTTACTTACACTTGTGTGGTGCAACATTACTTCAGATCCAATATAGTCCAATGTAGCACAGAATCGTCTTTTCATTTCAGTCTTTCAGAAAATCCGGCGTCGAATTGTGCCTTGTTTGTAAATGAATCCAGGGTGAAATGAAGTGAGCAAACGACCAACCTTTTACTGACGTGGTCTAGAACTTCATTAAAAATAAAGCTAATCCACTCTTTCCTAATGTTGGGATCCGATGGAAGGTTATACAAAGAATGTGTTTTCCACAGTTTGGCACTGCACAGCGTCTTGTTATCTTCGGAGCCTAGCAGTAATAGGCAATTTTTTGTCCTGTTTGACCTCCCTCATCAGAACGCTCTGTTTGAATAGGCGTGGTGTACTGTAGACTCGGAAGTAAACACCCACTGCTATGATTGGCTAATAGTTGTGTATGTTTGACAGCAACATCCTTCACAGATGGACACTGCTGTGATTTAGGTAAAAACCGCATAAATACTCAGTTCATATCAAACGATCTGTAATAACAGACAAAGCAATAGTGATAACGTAATAAAAAAGTTACTTACACTTGTGTGGTGCAACATTACTTCAGATCCAATATAGTCCAATGTAGCACAGAATCGTCTTTTCATTTCAGTCTTTCAGAAAATCCGGCGTCGAATTGTGCCTTGTTTGTAAATGAATCCAGGGTGAAATGAAGTGAGCAAACGACCAACCTTTTACTGACGTGGTCTAGAACTTCATTAAAAATAAAGCTAATCCACTCTTTCCTAATGTTGGGATCCGATGGAAGGTTATACAAAGAATGTGTTTTCCACAGTTTGGCACTGCACAGCGTCTTGTTATCTTCGGAGCCATCTTTATCGTTTGGTTTCTGTGTAGACCTGCGTTTGTCTCTCTCATTATTTACACTACGTGTGCGAATCAGTGGGCGGAGCTAGATAGGCAGTGATGTAGAAGCAGGTGCTGATCTTCTTCTGCGGAGGTGGGGTTTACCCGCTCTATTACGTCATAGAGCGGCACATTCCACAAGCTGTCATTTTGGCAGATTTGCTTCAATATAAGCTGTTTAAGACTAATGAGAAAGTTTTGAGTTCTGAAACTTACAGGATGTTTTTACATTACGATGACCTCTTATATGTCAAAAGATCAAGGGAATTTTGATTTCTCAGTTCGGCCCCTTTATGTAATTCTAAAGAAATGTGTGCAGGATAGCTTTGCAATTTTTTAAATTGCATTCTACTAATGGATCTTAATTTTAGATCCCAATTTATTGCAAAATAAAAAAATATTCATACACTCAGGGGAAAAAAAATACCTTTAGGGGTACAACAGCTTGTCAATGGAGCTGTACCCTCAAATTAACACCTTTGCCCCTAAAGGCTGCATAATCACGATCTGAGAGTATCACATAGATGTCCCTTTGAGGGAACTGGCCCAGTGACAAACGGTTGTACCTCTAAAGATGCCAAGATAAAACTCACTTATTGGACATCAAAAATAAAAAAAAAATCTAATTACTATACCTTCTTAATACTTTTAAAGGACAAGCTCACTAAGAAAAGACAGTCCTATCATGGCTAACTATCATGGCAGCAGACATGCTACTTACTTTGGAAATGCGTCATGTAAGATTTTCTTCTATCAGTGATATTGATGTAGCTGGTCAGATTTGTTTTGATATAATCACATGTATATTGCAAGAACAAGACTTGCTCCTCCACCAATAGCTTGCAATTTTATGTTTCAACCACAGATGGCGATAGAGAGCCCAGTCGTATTCTTCCTTTAAAATGATCTGTAAACTGGAAGTTATATTTGTATTGTTTCTGATGCTGATTACTGTAACTTAGACTGTTTTTAGTCTCAAATATGTCAGGGTTTACATTACGAACACTAGCAAACATTAGCACTCGGCTACATGGCCTTTGAACACGACAGCCTGAAAGTAGAGAGCAAATTATTATTTTCTTTCTTTTTTTATGTAAACCATACATTATACATGCAAATTGAAGATTTAACTTCACTACTAGCATACAACATCATGCAAGTGACCTCATCTTGGTGACAAATGCATGCAGACTTGCTTAGTTATGCTGCCCTTTCTGGTTTGTTTTGTTCCAGAGCTACTGGCCTGTATGAGTGTATTACAATGGTTAAAAGTACTGAACTCGCCCACTCTCTTGAATGAGGGCTGGCTGTGAGGTCCACTCGCTCTTTGGCATGGAGAGAGACCCGACCCCTCGAGTGCAGCTGTGGAGAGATGCTGACATTTTGGGCTCCTGTCACATTACACGCACTGCAGAGATGCAGTTTTTTGGGGATACTAAATTGAAGCAGAATCTAGTCCAAAATAGTGCATTGCCCCTGGCAACAGCTTATTAATCAAAGGAAGCTACCAGGGCATGAATAGCTCTGCAGTGGATTTGTGTTTAAGAGTGCTCTTCTACATATAAAGCCAGGAGTGTGTCAGGCAGCCAAACTTTTAATTCATCATAGGTTCTTCATGCTTCGCCATGCTCTTACAACATGTCACTGTTTGACTCTTAAAGCCTTTTAAGAAAGCATGTTAGGCCACAGATTGTTTAAGGCTTTGGAGACCTGAAGTATGCGTCCACTTTCCTTTGAGAATGCAGGAGTGGAGTTCATTGCTTTCAGACCAACTGCCTGTCTGTCCTTATTGTGTACTAGGACAGTAGATTGAATATTGTAACACTGTATGCTAACAAGAGTTTCTTGTACCAACTTATGATTTAGTCAATGCTAAAAGAAAAATGATTAGCATGTGGACAGTTAAAAAAAATCACAGTGATATATACTGTCTGTGTGTGTGTGTGTGTGTGTGTGTGTGTGTGTGTGTGTGTACGTGTGTATGTCTGTATGTGTATATATATATACATAGTGTATAAAACCTTGGAATATTTCGGCATGTGTGGGGAGGAAGAGAGGCTTTATTTGGAAGAAAAGAGACAAAACACCCATCTTTGTTGCATAACCTTGAATCTGTGATTTGTTTAGCTAAAATTCAGCCATTGAAGCTCCATATGTCAGTCCCATCACAGTCGTCTGGCTTTAACAGATGATAGCTGTCCATTTAAAAGATCAAAAATGAAGTGATGTACTATATACTCATAATGTCATGTCCTAAAAAAGCATCTTAAGTGCAAAACCCTTCATAACTAGTCAAGGCAAGCATCATGTTCATTGTAACTGTAGAATGTTGTACAATTTCATTTTCCAAGGAAAACTAATTTCATAATTTAAATTCTCCTTGGTAGTTCAGTCACAGAATGCCATTTAATATTGCTCCATTCCACAAAGTATGTCAGACTTCAGACAGCATTAGGAGAAAAAAGGAGTTGTGACTCAGAATACCAGAGGGTTGAGAGTCATGCATGAAAATCAGATATTTGGCATTATGTAGTCATTTCTTTTGGACTTTGTGTGGCAGCCAGCTGAACAGCATCCTGCATAATTTCTTCCTTTTGATTTTAGCCTTGAACAGGCACTGATTCTGGGGATGAGCCTGAGACTGAATCTGAGACATAATCTGAAATTGAGGCAGAATCTGAGGCATAATCTCAGTCTGGGATTGAATCTGAGATATAATCTGATTTTGAGATTGAATCTGTGGCTGAAATGGAATCTGTGACTGAGACTGAATCTGAGGCTGAATCCGAGACACAATCTGTGGCTGAGCCTGAGGCTGAGACTGACTCTGTGGCTGCGGCTGCGTTTGAGACTGAGATTGAGCCCGAATCTGGCACTGAATCTGAGAAATAATCTGAGGCTGACTTTGAGTTTGATTCTCAGATTGGCTATGGGTCATAATGTTCGCATTTAGCTGGTGTAATTTGTGATTCTGAATGAGTGAGGTGAGTAAAGACAGAGATCCTTCATATCCTTCTCTCCTCTCTGGGGATGATGGACACAGACTCTGGAAGAGTTCTTTGAATCTTCTCTCCTGTTGACGGAAGTCATACTCCACACTAGTCCAAGGAGTGAATAAGAAAATTGGGAAAGAGATAAGGGAAAAGGTAGGGGGAACAGAAAAGAGAGCATTCGATTTATGATTGTTCATGCTTCATAGTTCATTTTCCCCCTTGGAATTACATACATTTACAATACCGTTCATTACTCCAGTCTTCAGTGTCACATGAAACTTCAGAAATCATTCTAATATGCTGATTTGGTGCTCATTTCTTATCATTATCAATGTTGAAAACAGTTGTGCTGCTCCATATTTTTGTGGAAACATATGTATGTATGTATGTATGTATGTATGTATATATATATATATATATATATATATATATATATATACTGTATTTTTTATGTATGTATTTATGTATGTATGTATGTATATATATATATATATATATATATATATATATATATACTGTATTTTTTTTTTAAACATATATATGTTTGGGTGGGTAATAAGTAAAATCTGTGCTTTTTCTACTATTGTTTTACCATTATTTTCTTCCACCATCAATACATAGAATATGATAGAATATAATGATAGAATATAATGACAACATATTTTAATAAAAACTATTATTAATAAATGCTAAATTTTGGTTTTGTCTTTTTTATTATTAACCTATGGGAGAAAATAATAAAACACTGAAGAAGAAAAAATGTGTCTATGGAAATGTGGGAATGTGAATCTAATTGTATTGAATTGGATAACACAATAAAGTACAAAAGTTCATGTTTAAAGGGATAGTTCACCCAAAACTGAAAATTCTGTCATTATTTAATCACCCGCATGCCATTCTAAACCTGTATGACTTTCTTTCTTCTTAAGAACACAAAATAAGATAATTTGACACACTGCCTTTTTGAAGCACTGAGACTTTTTTAAAAATATCTTCTTTCGCTCTCCACAGAAGAAGGAAGCCTTATCGTTTGGGAACAACATGAGGTTGAGTAAATGATGACAGAATTGTCAATTTTGGGAGAACTACCCCTTTTTAAATGGTTGGTAGTCTCGCTGGGTGCTCTCACCTGTAGACAGCACATGCAGTCTTCTGACAGGTGGAACAGTCACTGAAGTCTTGGCCAGTCCGAAAACATTGCCGACTACAAAAATAGCAGGCAAGGAAAAAGATTTTAAAATGCATTGTTTGAGTATATCTTTTAGTATGCCTTACATTCACATTCATAAATGCAGTTAGAGCTCATTTATAGCCCTTATTGACCTATGCTTGGAGATAAAACCAAATGTACATTAAATTAAATTAAACTACAACTACACTTTCTTCCTGCACCTTGGCTCTAAAAAACACATCCAGCTCACCAGTCACACTTGTCTATTATCTGTTAATCTTGGAACAAATCCGTCTCTCACCCTTTGCTGATTGCGTGGCTCATCTCCAGGTCCTGGATGATGTTGAGCAGAGTTGTGATTCTCTCCTTGTTGGACTGCAGACTCGCCTCTACCATCTCTAATCTGTGTTTAGGGTCCCGCGGACTGCCACACTGTGGTGATGCAGGCAGCAACCGGGCCGCAGAATCCGGATGGTCGTGCGTTATGGAACAGTGTTCACTTGGGATGGGCCTAGTCCCTTCAGAATGAGATTCCATCTGTGTCTTTGAGTTCTGGAGACTTCCATCTTTCTGTGTGTGTTCCATAGGCAAAGTGCCTGAGGGTGTCAGAAGTGGGTTTTGATTGGAGGACACATTCAGGCCTCTGTTTTCACTGCCCCCTGTTGCAAATTTAAAAGCTGGTGCTTGTGGAGGTGCAGAAGAAGGTTTAGGAGGTCGACAAGAGGGAGGTGGTTTGTTTGGAGGTTGAAGTGAGTGTTGTGAGTCATTGATCATTTGACCTTCTGGTTCTGCTACCTTAATATCAGCCAGTTTCTTTGACTCTGTGTCACTCCAAAATTTTAATTCAGTCCTGTAGTGTGTTGTAGCTTGAGGAAAAGCCCTAGCGGAAGCGATGGCTAGTAATGAGGACTCAAGAGTGTCATTATTAAGCTGATTCAGGACAGAGCGTCTGAGAACCGTAGGCTCTGTCTGTCTATGTGGCGTATTCGAATGAACACACAAAGCGTGTGAGGATGATTTGACCCCGGGGCTTGTTTGAGAACGTTCTTTGGTGTACGAACGCACCTCCACCTCAGTCTGAGTGGTGGTAAATGCATTTGAGAGGTTCTGATGGTTGATTGTCTGCATCGTAAGTGTTGCTTTGTGATGGGTTGGCATATTTGGGGCATGTGAAAAGAAGCGAGTGTCATTTTGGCTTTTTGACTCACGATAAGGATGTGACAGTGCATCTTTATGCATGGATATACCCTGCAGTGATGTTCCACTGGTGTTTGTTCGCTGTGTGGATGTGTGGGAAGCTTCTTTGTGCGTGTCGGTGGGTGAAGGAGTGCTGTTGTGTATTGATGCGTGATGTGGTTCACCGTGAGGCCCTGAGAGTTTAGGTGTGTGTGTCACCAGTCCAAAATGTGAACGTGAATCACAGGGTGAGGATTCTGACTCTGTGTCAGCACAGATTTGTGTCCCGCTTTGAGGTTTAATGCCGAAATTTGTGTGTGAGCACATTGACGGTTTAGTGTGCATGTCAAATTTGGACTTTAATCCATTAGGGAATGGAACCTGTCTGTGAATGTTTGAAGCAGTGGAGGATATGACACCTTCATTCACACAACTCTGCACTATAGATTGGCGTTTAATGTTTGAATGTAAATGAAAACAGGCAGGGGATTTTGTCTGATTTAACCGTGAGCATTTCAAAAGTGCATCACTGCTTTGAGGTTTGGAGTTCTGCGGTGTGCTAGTTTGGGGGAACATTTGTTTCAAAGTAGTTTGCAAAGGTTTGATGTGTGTTTTATTTTGTGGCTGGGGAGACTCTGAGTGTGTAGGTTTGACTTGGTTTCCTTGAGTTGGTTGTTTCTCATCAGGGTTTGGCTGGTGAGATGATCTGAAGTGGGTGTTTGTGTGTGGTATTCTGGTATTTGTAACCTGTGTGGCATCTAGCCTTTCTGTCAGGCTGTTTTTGTGTGTTTGGGGAGGGTTGACAGACACAGGAAGTCTGCGGGGACAAGAGTTGTGAGGTTTGTGAGCGTTCAAGTGTGTGTTTACGACCTTTGTTGAGCCTCTATCCTCTTTCACGGTAACAGTGAGAGTGTGTGTATTTAGAGCCGATGAGCGACTGGTGTGATTAATGTGTGTGTCAGCACTAGATTCCCTCTTGACTGCGTGATGATTAGTGAGGTTTGATGCCTCACTCTGCTGAGCAGGCAGGAGAGATAATGGCCATTCCTTGTTTATATTAATGTTGAGATAAGAATGAAGGTTAGTGCTCATGGGGTGCTGGTCTGACTGTGTAGCACTGCGGGTGGTGTGCCTTTCTATCTGCGTGTATTCCTGCACGTCCTTCTCAGGGTAAAGAGGGGATGAATGTCTCGACTGGAGTCCCAGAGAACCCTCGGAATTTGGCGGTGTAATCATCCTTATTTGGCTGTAGAGTCCATGAGGCGCAGGATTCTGCCTTCCTCCACAAGTGCTGCAGATGGTCACGGGAGGTCTGTGAGGAGGTGAGTGTGGAGGTAATGTTTTTTTCTGTCTGGTGGAAGACTCCTCCCCATCACTGATGTCACTGCTGATCCCGCCCATTACCTCGGAGTCAACCACGCTCCCATTGGTGAAGTGACAATTCCTTCTCAGTTTTAGCCTGCTGTTAGCCACACTTCTCAATGAGGGGCTGGTTCTAATTGGATGGTTGCGGAGCTGCACTTCTTCCCTGATGTTTTTACAAATATCCCTCTCCAGTCCCTCAAAGGTCACACCCTTTTTCATTTTAGTCTCCAGACTTTTTTGTTTAATAATTATACTTTTTGTTTTTTCTTTCCCGTTATCCTCCTTTTTACCGGCCTCGTTTGGGATGTGGCCATTAGGTGGCATGATCACTTTGTTTTCTGATTGACTATTACAAGCGTCCACATGTTTGCCGTTCAGCTGTAGTTGGTTGTTTCTCATTGCAGGTGACGTCTGCACACCGACATTACAGTGATGAGATAGTGTGAGGGCCGCCATTCTACTGGTCCCATTTGTCACAGCCCTCCAGATGCGTGTCCCCACAAGTGCGGGCTCTCCGAGTACTGGCACTGGAGTGGTGTGATCAGCTGCTCGTCTACCCATTTCAAGTATAACTGGTCCAGGCAGACTTGAGTAGAAATCAATGCACTTGACCACTATGGAACACCTGAGGTGGAAAGAGAAGGAGAACTCTTGGAAGTAAATAGACTGAAAAGGCAGACAAAAGGTGAATAGTAATGAATGTTTTTTTGGGTTACAAATACCCTGATACATGATTCATGCTTACAAAACACTGCAGTCTTTGTTTAAAAATCTGAAAAATATGTATTTAACATTAATATTTTAAATTTGTTTGTTTGTCTAAAACCTTTTTTTTTCAACCCAGCTTCATTATAAATGTTTTGTGGCTGTATGTCACAGGATTGAATATTAGTGCAAAAGTGGCAAATAATGGCCTTAACTAGCAAATATTATTGTGCTTTGTTCCATGTATGTTAATATATGTACAGTATATGTATATCCCCACTGTATATATATATATATATATATATATATATATATATATATACAGTGGGTACGGAAAGTATTCAGACCCCCTTAAATTTTTCACTCTTTGTTATATTGCAGCCATTTGCTAAAATCAATTAAGTTAATGAGGAAAAAAAATAACTTAAATGATTTTAGCAAATGGCTGCAATATAACAAAGAGTGAAAAATTTAAGGGGGTCTGAATACTTTCCGTACCCACTGTATATATATATATATATATATATATATATATACACATACAGTGGGGATCAAAATTATAGAACAACCTACAATTTCTAGGTCACTGCTTAGACCTATTTTAACTTATCCTAACAGGAGTAGAAAGGCAGTTTTTTAAGCATATTTCAGAAATTAATTGTATTGTGAAGCACAGTATATAAAACTTAAATAAGATATTTAAAACATAACTCTGATCAAAATTAGAGAACACTTATAGAGACCTTCAAGTTATTGGTGTTAATCTGGTACCTGGTGCTAATTTCCTTAATTATATGACAAACCCTATTTAACTGTCAGCATTCCTCTAATTTTGACTGAGATTGCAAGATAGCGAGGTGCTCTAAGGTGACTGAAACTCTGCAACAGCAGGTTGTCCAAATAAAGGCCAAAGGGATGACCCTTTCAGCCACTGCAAGAGAAGTTGGTCATTCCAAATCTGTGATTTCTTGAATATTACAGTTTTACATTGACCCTGATTCATTCAAGTCCCCCAAAAAGGCTGGTCACCCACGTAAGACAAATGCACGAGAAGACAGGATAATGAGGAGACTCTCAGAGGGGAATCGGTTTAACACTGCAGCTGGAATTGCTCACCAGTTAAGCACTGAACAGGGTAAGGATCTGTCTTGGCATGCTTAAGAGAAGTCAGATTGCAAGCACACTCTGCAGTGTCAAAGCCTCTCATTATCAGAAAGAATCAAAAGGCTAGACTCACCTTTGCTGAGGAGCATGTTATCTGGACAGAGGAGAACAGGTCCAAAGTTCACTTTTGTGATGAGAGCAAGTTTAATTCATTTGGGTCCAATGGGAATCATTGGGCCCTATTTTAACGATCTAAGTGCATGGTGTAAAGAGCACGGCGCAGGTGTACTCAGGGCATGTCCGAATCCACTTTTGCTAGTTTGACGACGGGAAAACGGTCTCATGGTGTAAACGGGTTGTCCCTATTCTCTTAATGAGTAATGGGTGTTTTTTTTGGGCGTAAGGTGCAATAAACCAATCAGAGTCTCATCTCCCATCCCCTTTAAAAGCCAGTTGTGCTCGCGCCATGACGGGTTCGCTATTTACATGGTGGCAGGGCCGGATTTACGCATAGGGATTCTAGGCACATGCCTATGCTTGCTCGTCCAGGGGGGTCCCAAACACAATGAAGAGATATAAAATATTTTTGTTATACTATGTACAACAGTAAAAGAACCAAAAACCCCAGAAGACATTGAGCAAATAAATATAATAAACAATAAGGTAAAAATGACAAACTAATTCCATGTCTTCAACCTTTTTAATGTATGGAAATCATGCTTTTTTCACAGACACAGACGCAGTACACACGCGAAAACGCAGGCAAAAACTTGTTGTTAGTGCTGCCCCGCGAATTTATCAATAAAATAGTTTCGCATTTCTCAGTAGCGAGGTTCTTGAAGCAATTCAACTTAAATTGCAGTGATAATTACAATTACAAGTGTGTAAAGAAGTCATTGAAAGGTGGAGGAGGAAGTGTCATGCTTTGGGTGATGTTTTCTTCAGCAGAGGTTGGGCCTCTTATACAGCCACAGGACAGGGTGAATGCAAATGTTTATCAGAACCTCCTTCAGCAACATGCGGTACCTTCCCTGCAAGCATCTCCCAGTCAGATTGCAATTTTCATGCAAGACAATGTCCCCGTCACAACGCAAAATGGTTAAAGCAGTTCCTTGAAGCCAAGAACATTGAGTCCTGATCTAAACCCAACTGAAAATCTCTTGAAAAATCTCCTTGGAAAATCCTTATGGCTAAGAAACTCACTACAGTTAACAAACTATGGAAGAGAGTGGAAGAAGAGTGGACCAAGATCACACCAAAGTGTGAGAAACTAGTGATATCCTGCGGCCACAGAAGTGCTGAAAAAGCAGCAGCCTCTACAATTCCTACTAATTTTTGACAGCTGTAACCCTCCAACATTTTAGTTGTAATCTTCTTTTGTGTTACAGTGGTTACTGTTCTCTAATATTGAACACTGTGTTTTCCACAAGATAAAGGTTTTTATTGAAATGTCTTGGTTACTTTGTAAAACGTGTTAGTACAACAGTGGTATACTCACAGCTAATATTCCTTCAAATTTTGAGAAATGAAGGTTTACATTATAGTATTTTAGGGGAAAATACTATATAGTACAAGCAATATATTTTAATTTCAGTAAACTTAGTTTAGTCAGAAAAAATATTTTAATCTATTTATTTTTATTTATTTTTTTTACTACAATTTCATTTGCATTACACACTTATCAGAGCCAAATCCATCACCTAATGAGACTAAGTTCAGTATTCTGTAAATGATATCATTAGTCAGTCATGGGGACACACAAATTTATGTAGCACAAATGGCAATGTTTTCTGACAATGACCCACATACAAAAACTGCAAAGTATCAACCATCTGCTACCGCCTGCAGTTACTTTTGAAAATGAATACATTATATCAAGATATTGGATGAAAGTGCAAAATAAGAGTGCAAATTATGAGAAAAAAAACATTTCTGTTTCATAGCACAAGACCTGATAATAGAATATACAAAAGACCTTCCTGCCTAAACTAGATGAATCCAATTTGGAACGAGTAAGCAAAAAGATGAGAGAGAACAAAGTGAAATCAAAAGAACAGAGTGATATCAACGAGAAAGAGGGAGAGAGAGTACAAGTGTGCTGTAACATATTCAGACTGCATTACTTCTGATCTATCTATGCAAAAAATTTATATGTACAGTTTCCAGGAATAGAGAAACTGCTGTCTGTTTGCTCTGAGTTAAACTGTGTCAACATGAGTGTTTGTGTGCGTGACTAATTAAATATTTCACACACTGACAAATGTTTTGTTCTGCTCTGACCTGACTTTCTCTCCTTTCCACTGCTACACCTGGCCCCCTGCCAGCCAGGCTCGGCTGCCCTCTCTCTCATTCAACCCACCTTGGGCACCTTGATAATTTGCCAGACAAAGAGGGTGTTAATCAGCGACTGACAGTAAATTTTCTAATGAGCCACTCAAATAAGTGGATGTTTCGAAAATGTGGGCATGCGTAACATTTTGCCTACATTTAAGGGACCAAATGTCCCCAAAAGGATAATACAAACTGAAATCATATATATTGTGGGAACCCGCTCATGTGGAAATATGCTATTAAATAATGTATTAAATGTACAGCAAAAACAGAGAAAAAATATTGCACTCAGTTGCACATGCATTGCTTCCTATATGTGAAAAAAAGTACTGTCTGCACACTTAATAAAGATACATATATATATATATATATATATATATATATATATATATATATATATATATATATATATATATATATATATATATATATATATATATATATATATATATATATATATATATATAGCTGGGTAATAACTGATTAAATGTAATCTGGATTACGTAATCAAATTCCAAAAATTAAGTACTTGTAATTAGATTAACTTAAATTTTAAAATACTCAGACAACTAAAGTAATTAGACTACAGTTACTTATTTATTAATTACATGATTAGGAGGGATGTGACATGTGGCCAAGTATGGTGACCCATACTTGGAAATAGTGCTCTGCATTTATCCCATCCAAAGTGCACACACACAGCAGTGAACACACAAACACCATGAACACACACCCGGAGCAGTGGGCAGCCATTTATGCTGCGGCGCCCGGGGAGCAGTTGGGGGTTCGGTGCCTTGCTCAAGGGCACCTCAGTCATGGTATTGAAGGTGGGAGAGAGCACTGTACATTCACTCCCCCAACCTACAATCCCTGCCGGTACGAGACTCAAACCCACAACCTTTAGGTTACGAGTCCGACTCTCTAACCATTAGGCCACAACTTCCCACTGCTACACCTTTCATTTATTAAATTACGTATTATTCACACAATAGCAATAAATTATTCATAATCTTTTTGATTCTCCTTAATTCCTCTTTTTCATCTTTTAAATGTTCCTTTTGTTTAATATCCTACCGCTTTTATACACTCAGTAAGTTTTCCACTTTTGTGGATATTCACACAAAGACCAATCATTAGTCACGTGGCTACACAGTGTAGAATCTGCGTAGAATCATGCATGATCTTTGGGGTTTTATGGCTTAAGAGACCCCTTTTAGCCTTTTGACATTTGAATATAAATTACGGTCCTGGTCACAGACTTTACGTTTGTATGGGGGTCTAAATTGCCAAATGGTTACTCGCCATCAAGGAGATTCTAACCACTATCATCTCCCCCATCTGACTTCAAACACTTCCCAAAGAGCTGTAAATGACCCCGATGCCAGGCAACAATGGGCCTGGCTGACCAAGCAAACCAACACACACACACACACACACACAAACACACACACATAAAGACATTTCTTTATTTAGACTATAATTAATAAGTTATAATTGTATCTGGTATATGCATGTGTTGTTTGTATGTTTCCCTATTGTATTAGCCTAGTTACAACTCTTTATTTGTATTAGCTAGACTCTCAATGCTTATATTCAGGTATATGAGTGTATCTCTGCTTTAAGATCTTCTAGATGTTTCGTTCTTGGTATCAAAATAATCAGCTCTTTATTCCTCAAACAATGATCTACACTATATGATCGTGAAATGCATCTTACTATTTGTAGCATATTTTGGGTAAAACTGTACCAATCCTCCAGACCAGCAATAAACATGCAAATGGGCCATAAACAGAGACAAAGAAAGTTTCTCCCGCTCAAAATTCATGCCTCTGATTGGCCATTGGTGGAATGGCCAATCAGAGGCATGAATTTTGGGTGGAATGGCCAATCAGAGGCATGAAGTTTGAGCGGGAGAAACTTTCTTTGTGCATAGAAACCCTCAAAAGTGATTAGCCCGAAATAATCTTAGCTCAGAAACCCTCAGAAACCCTCTTCGTTTGAGACAACACTTTTCCAAGACTCTCAAGATCTTCCTCTTGAGTTTTTATCTTCAAGTAACTTTAGTCGCTGTGGACTTTTCCTTCTTCAGAAGAACCAGAAGTAAAACTTCCAGCTCACTCCTAACGAACTTATCAAAGACCTCCGTTGTCTACCTCATCAGGACTCTTGTTCAGCAATCGAAACCAATGCAAGTAACCGCTTTAAGGTGATTTTTGATTCTTTGATGATTTTCAAAGGTTGTGGTTAAGTGATTTGAAATACTGCCATTCTTTTTCTTTCCTCTCTCTTTTCCTTACTTTGTTTCATTTCTGTATGTATTTGTGTTTTGCTTAGTTATATGTTAGATATAGTTTCATTTATTAAATCCCTTATATTCACAACTGATTGTCTCTGTTTGCTGCTCACAATTCAAAGTCAATGAATGTTTGAACCCTTGCTACATTTGCTAAATTACTGCTAGCACTGCATAAAGAAGGACAGTTTATTCTTCCTTGGCCAGGAAAATAATCGTTCCTTGAATTGATAAAGGATTATCTTGTCTGCTCGGTGGACAGACAGATCAAATAAATGTAATATTGATTCTGCTACAGTTAATTCGAAGATATAATCTAAATATTTATCCTTACGACTAATCATAACCAGTTATGTTTAGTCGTAAATATTTCCCTTTTGAGCTTGATTTACTACAACAGCATATGACCACTGAATTTACAAAAATAATTTCAGGTGTTTCAAAATTGCATCAACTACTGATGAACACATTAATGTTTATCTGAATTATCACTCAGTGGGTTAGTAAGGCTTTTCAAACTTTTTGTCTTTCAAAATTTCACATTACAGGTGCATCTCAATAAATTAGAATGTCGTGGAAAAGTTCCCTTATTTCAGTAATTCAACTCAAATTGTGAAACTTGTATATTAAATAAATTCAATGCACACAGACTGAAGTAGTTTAAGTCTTTGGCTCTTTTAATTGTGATGATTTTGGCTGATATTTAACAAAAACCCACCAATTCACAATCTCAACAAATTAGAATATGGTGACATGCCAATCAGCTAATCAACTCAAAACACCTGCAAAGGTTTCCTGAGCCTTCAAAATGGTCTCTCAGTTTGGTTCACTAGGATACACAATCATGGGGAAGACTGCTGATCTGACAGTTGTCCAGAATACCATCATTGACACCCTTCACAAGGAGGGTAAGCCACAAACATTCATGGCCAAAGAAGCTGGCTGTTCACAGAGTGCTGTATCCAAGCATGTTAACAGAAAGTTGAGTGGAAGGAAAAAGTGTGGAAGAAAAAGATGCACAACCAACCGAGAGAACCGCAGCCTTATGAGGATTGTCAAGCAAAATTGATTCAAGAATTTGAGTGAACTTCACAAGGAATGGACTGAGGCTGGGGTCAAGGCATCAAGAGCCACCACACACAGACGTGTCAAGGAATTTGGCTACAGTTGTCATATTCCTCTTGTTAAGCCACTCCTGAACCACAGACAACGTCAGAGGTGTCTTACCTGGGCTAAGGAGAAGAAGAACTGGACTGGTTCCCATTGGTCCAAAGTCCTCTTTTCAGATGAGAGCAAGTTTTGTATTTCATTTGGAAACCAAGGTCCTAGAGTCTGGAGGAAGGGTGGAGAAGCTCATAGCCCAAGTTGCTTGAAGTCCAGTGTTTCCACAGTCTGTGATGATTTGGGGTGCGATGTTATCTGCTGGTGTTGGTCCATTGTGTTTTTTGAAAACCAAAGTCCAAAGGTCAAAAAGTAGTCTGATTACCTGAAATGTGTTATGTAATGGATTACGTTACTAACTACAATTTTTGTGATTTGGAATCAGTAACAGAATACAATTTGCAAGTAATCTACCCAGCTGTGTATATTGTCCTACAAAAAATATTTATATTACATACATATTTTTAAAATTAGCTGTCACTCATTTTTCACTATATTATCTTTATTCAATGTGTGAACAGGGTTTGTGAGAGGTTTATGGAATGAAAATATGATTAGCTCAGGGTAAAACAATATAAAGTCAATGGAAATCCGGCTCCATGATAGAAAAACAAACATTCATGTTTGTGTTTTTGCAATATATCATCATGACATGAATAAATAGAAAGAATCATGGTACTTTGAAATTTGCAATAAACATTGCAACTATACTGTGACTGTGAGTCACTTTCCAATCATTACTTACTGTTTTGCCATCACATTTCCAGCGAACACACACACACATTCCCTCAGCCCCCAGCCTTGAATGTGCAAACATTTCAGATCATCTTGTTGTCCATTCCCCCAAGCATCACTCTTTCTTGATGTTCTGTTGTGGATGTCAAGCTGACCCCTCTGGGTGGCACCAGGCTGTGGCACCACACATGACAACAGCCTGAAGTCAGTCTAGGAAAGATTGTAGTCTATGAAGCACAAGACTCACAGTCTTTCCTTCAGATATCACAACAATCATGCGGCCTTTTATTGCAGATAAACACAAAAAGATAGCGAGAAAAGCAGAGGAATGGAATCAGGAAATGTTGCGAGCCGTATTCAAACTTGCATCGTTTACATGAGCGCCACAGCTCATGCGCTAACTGCTAGGCCAAGGCTCTGGCACAGCGACTAACCGATTTGAATCAGTTACATCATGCAGAAATGAGATACAGACCACAATACAAAACAATATACTTTTATTTTGTACATAAACAAGCACCTACCTTCAATTACATCCTGAGACTCAAACCCCGAAGATTCCTGCCATGTTGCAGGTATTTTTCTATAAGTTTGATTATCCACAAAAGGTCTTGTTGTCCAGTAAGTGGGTGCAGTGAGGAGACTCTAAGATGACTCAAATCCGCACATGAGCATGTGTTCAAACACCACCTGCCTTGACAGTCACTCCTCTAGCTCTCTGCAGACAGTAATCATCCTCCCTCAGAGGCTGATTGGAGGCTGTTTGCTTCTCTCCAGAGGCGTCTGCTTTTCATTTGTTTTGATTTGCTCTCACCTTCACTTGCTGAGGCAGCAAGCACAAAGATGCATTGATCAGTGTCCTCAGCCGTGCGCACTCTCTCTTCATCTCTCTCTCTCTCTTCATCTCTCTCTCTCTCTCTCTCTCTCTCTCTCTCTCTCTCTCTCTCTCTTTGAGTCACTCTTCCTGCCTGTCCCTCACCCTATCTCTCTGTCTCACCCTCTTTCACATATGCATATCCAGTGCTGGGTCAAAGGCATCCTAAATTCAGCTGAAATTAGGCAGGGTGGGGGAGATTGAGAGAGAGGTTCTGCATGCCAAGGGGTTGTGTGAAAATTACCAACATTATAGAAAAACAGATTGATGGATGTAGTAAAAGGATGTTTAGCTTTTTACATAAAGATTGTCCACTGTGAAATAAAATGTTATTTGATATAAGTGATTTATAATTATTTTAAAACTGTTGTAGGTAGAGAAATGCAAAGAAAAAAAAAAGTTAAAATTGATGTTATTATGGGATTGTTCAGATTTAAAGCCTGTCCACTGTGTAATAACATGTGAATTACTGTATGCTATTTGCTATATAATTGCTGTAAGAAAGGGAATGTTATTGTGGGAATAATCACATTTCTACAAATGTAATATGCACGTATCTTATATACTTATCTTATATGTATCTTATATACATTTAAAAGTTAGTTTAGACCAATTCTGAGTTTTAAAAAGTATAAAAGTATAAGTATAAATATATATACAGTATATATATATATATATATATTTATTTACATGTTTTTTTTTATTTATAGTTTTATTGTAAATTATTATAAATAACTGTAATTGTATCTGTTTATCAATGTTTTTACTACATGTTTAGATTTCCAAAGCTCAACGCTATATGTCAGACTTTAACAGCAATATGATCAGAGGTTCTGCAGATCATGCACTACAATGTAATTCACTAAAATCCCAGGAATATACCTATTAATTTTCCCCAAAGATTCTGTTATGTTTCCGAATACTAAAATCTAGAATATTTAAATCAATACATTTAATATACTATTAATACAATGTATGATATTATTTGTATCATCATCATCATCATTATTATTATTATTTTAGGTAAGAATGTTATGAGATAGTACAGAGGTTTATATACAAACATATTTAATACAAACTATAGCATGTAAAATCATTATTGCAGTTAGATTTTTCCATGGTACAGTATGGTTAATACAGCATAAGTGTGATTCATGAAGTTTTCTCTGAGCAACCAGTTAGAAGTAATATAAATGAGAACTCAAAACTAATGTGGAAAGAGCACAGATGAGTGAATGTGTCTTTCATTAGGGAATGAACATTCATAAGATCAACATGCTTAATACAGTGTGTGATGATTGATCACTATAATGGGTAAATGAGGAATCCACTGAAAATGCTGAGGTTATCTGGACTGTCATTGATGGTGTAACCTAGGAGGAGCTTCACACAAACTACATCACCCACTTCCAGCTGCAGGACAGCTCCATTTGATGCTTATCTGTCTGACACAATCTACTTACACAATCTTCTGCCCATTTTAATATAAACTTGCACCCAGTGATTGTCTGTTTTGAGTTTCACATGCAGTGAATCTGAAGTAGTAGACTCCTTTAACTGGTGCAGTGAATAGACCTGCCATTGACAAAACAGTCAGATCAAATAGACCAGATAAACCAGAACATTATCCTTTAGGCAAGACATTGGCTACGTTTGTTCAAAGTACCCGTTTCTGGATTGTAGTTGTTTCCAATATTTGTGAAGATGTTGTTGAATGTCAGTGTGATCTCAGTATTCTGAGGACCTAAATCGCCACGTATCCCTAAGTCAGCTGAAAATGCCACTTTTGGTTGTTCTGTGGACGGAAAATATAGCTTTTTTATACATACTATACAACACAAGCAAGAATTAAAAAGAATTATCTCGGATTTATACAGTATTATATTTATTGTGCAATAAAGGCTGTCTGTACATTATCCATTAAATATTTCTATAAATTAAAAAAATAAGAGTAATTTACCTGCATTTTCTTTCTTAATTCCTTCCAGCTGGTTTTCACTAGTCTTCATTTGCTCAATAATCCCTAAAATGATTAAAGTCATTCATTGTAAAATATACATATATCTGCTTAAAGTAGAATAGAATGAATTTTATATGTGAAATAAAGTTTTTTCCCCCCACATAACATCTTCCCCAGAACAAATTGTGCTTCTTAACAATGCATTTATGCATTTTCTTTCATGAATTATATGTGCTTTGATCTTTTAAATCACTTTTAAATAGCTGCATTCTCTTTCTTCAGCTCCTGTATTTGTTCTGCCATTTCTATAAAACAATACATATTATATAAAATATACAATATAACAACATAAAACACTATTCAAAAGGCTTAAAAAGAAGAAGCAAACACTAGTACTAACTAGCACCGCAGCAGCTGCAGCAGAGCACCCTTACCCTCATCCTGATACAGACAAAACACTTGGGTTTATGAAAATAACACAAACAGGCTTTGACATAGTTAATCATTACTAGCCTTTATTGACACAGATATTAGCCTATTCATCCAACTGCAAGGAAGAATGTGGTATGTCATAAAGTAAAGCCAACCTCAAGGGTAAAGTCATGTTGCTGTTTCTCATGCTTTTGAATTTACAACTGCTAAATTCTCCAAATTTTATGTAAAAGCATAATGCTATACTGTTTGATAAGAATATTGTAAATAATTCTCTAAATTAACAAAAGAAGAATCAATAGTGCAATAGTGCATATTTTTCTTTCATATCACCTGCAAAGCTGCTTAGCAGTTTAAATTGTAAGGCTGTATCAAAACTGAAATTAATTTAATAAATTCCATAGTTGTAATTAGTCATGATTTTAGCACAAAAGCTGAAGCATATCCATCGCCGGCTCATATCTGAACTTCGTCATAATTTCTTTCACATCCCAATTGTCATTCCTGATGCTTTGCAGTAATTTTGGCACCTCGGATTGTCCCTCGCTGAGTGACAGACAGTACAGCAGTAGAGCAAGACTCATCCTCATTCTGATCTTCAGACAAAAATATGAAAAAAAGTTTATGGAAATAACACATAAGGTACCAGCTTTTATGCTTTGTGGTAGTTAATCATTGCTACTAATTATTCACACAGATGTTTCTCACCTCTATCAATAAAATACAGAATCAAATATTAAAGTGAAGCCAAACTCCAGGGGTAAAGTTCTGTTTGTTTCTGAAAAGTCATGTGCTCTTGAGTTTCTGTCTGTATAAACTGCTCTGAAATTATTTTAAGTAAAACATAATGACACAGTGTAGCATAAGATGGATGGTTTTTGTAATTATTTATAGTTAAATTAAATTAAATTAAATTAAATTAAATTAAATTAAATTAAATTAAATTAAATTAAATTAAATTAAATTAAATTAAATTAAATTAAATTAAATTAAATTAAATTAAATTAAATTAAATTAAATTAAATTAAATTAAATTAAATTAAATTAAATTAAATTAAATTAAATTAAATTAAATTAAATTAAATTAAATTAAATTAAATTAAATTAAATTAAATTAAATTAAATTAAATTAAATTAAATTAAATTAAATTAAATTAAATTAAATTAAATTAAATTAAATTAAATTAAATTAAATTAAATTAAATTAAATTAAATTAAATTAAATTAAATTAAATTAAATTAAATTAAATTAAATTAAATTAAATTAAATTAAATTAAATTAAATTAAATTAAATTAAATTAAATCACATCCTTCAGAAATCATTATAATATGCTGATTTGCTGCTCAAGAAACATTTTTTTAATAATAATTATTATTATTAATGTTTTTTGAGCAGCAAATCAGAATATAAGAATGATTTCTGAAGGATAGTGTGACTGGAGTAATGATGCAAAAACATTTGCTTTGAAATCACTATAAATTACATTTTAAAATATATTCCAATAGAAAACAGTTATTTGAAATAGCCTAGTAAAAATATTTCAAAATGTTACTGTTTTGCTGTACTTTTGATCAAATAAATGCAGGCTTGGTGAACAGAAGAGACTTCTTTAAAAAACAATCTTACTGTTCAAAAACTTTTGTCTGGTAGTGTATAGTCAACTTTAATTTTTCTCTCATTTCTAGCTTTTAATTGGCTTAGAAATCAGATAACTGCTGGACAATAATCAATAATAATGATTTGCTTATATACTACAAACTCTTTTTTTATCACATAAGGCAGAATAGTTTCTATACTGTAATAAATGCTATGTCAGTTAGCACTGCATTGTTCATATACTTTATTTATTAGCTACCTGGAGATGACTTGACAAACACAAATAAACCATATTGTCGCAATCGTATGTTTAAAGTCTTCATGTTTCCAAACGTTTCTGTTTTTCTGAAAACAACTGTTTTCATACAGCGATAGCTGGACGCTTTTGTCCATATTTCCTCATACGACCCTCCGGCTTCGAGTATGAATGAAACATAGGGCCTACACTGCACAGAGTGTTTAGCACTCCGTGATGTTCATCTCGCCTTATTCTGGGTCCGAGTAAACCATCAGATCATGCATAGACTATCCTGTCCCGCGTAATCTACGACCCTGATTTGATGAATAATACTTATCTTGTATTTACTTATAGGTATTCTTTTACTTATCCTTGCTACAGTAGTTTGACACCTTGGGATTCAGATGTAGATGCATATTTTTCATTTATTTTCTATAGCTTTTTTATTGTTATTTATGTTCATTATATTTTTTTATTATATTTTTTATTTATGAAATGAATTTGGATAAATGACAACTTGCTTTTTACTTAAAATGTAAAGCAGATGTATTATTATTTTATATGTTAAAATAATTGTATATTAACGTAAATATTAAGTTGATATTAATATTTGTATATGTGAAAGATGAATGAATGAATCACCCCACAACCCTGCAGAGGATGAAGCGGTATGGACAATGGATGGATGGATATATTAATATTAAATAGTGTACTGATATTGATATTTTAATATGTGAAAGAGAACA